GAGGACTTTGCCTGAGTGAGATTCTATTGTTTAAAAATACTTAGTTTTCAAACACTCTGGTCCCTAAGAAAAAGTCTTCATTTCACTTGTTTTTGACCTAAGAACTCTCTGCTACAAAACTGGAGGGAAGATTTTTTTCCTTTGCATTTATTTATTTATCTAACGCACATTGAATGAGAACTTACTGTGCTCCAGTACTGTTTTAAGGACTGGAAATACAGCAAACCCTAAAAAATTCCCTGACCTCAGAGATCTTACAGTTGAGTGGCTTTTGAGGTACAGAATGTCAGCCCGGGCATGCTGCCTGCCGAAGACATTTCAGGATTAATACCATTTGTGTGTGATTTTCACTTAGCTGATCATTTTTAAAATTGAGCCTCTCTTTACAGCTGCTGTAGAAGACAGTTTGGCAGTTTCTTACAAAGCTAAACCTACTTTTACCATAGGATACAGCAGTCATATTCTTGGTGTTTACACAAATGAGTGAAAAACTTACGTCCACACAAAAACTTGCACATGGATGTTTATAGCAGCCTTATTCATAATTACCAAAAGCTGGAAAGAGCCAACATGTCCTTCTTTTGATGAATGGATAAATAAATTGTGGTACATCTATACAATGGAATACTATTCTGTGCTAAGAAGAAATTTTTATCAAGCCATAAAAGTACATGGAGGAACCTTAAATGTATATTACTATGTGAAGAAAGCCCATCTGTAAATTCTATATGCTATATGATTCCAACAATATGACTCTCTAGAAAAGGAAAAAACTATGGAGACGGTAGTTGCTAGGGATTTGTGGGGAGGGAGGGATAAATAGATGGAGCCAGGGAACTTTTAGGGCAGAGAAACTACTTTGTATACTACTGTAGTGCAGGATGCATATCATAATACATTTGTCAAAACCCATAAAATGCACAACACCAAGCATGAACCCTAATGTAAATTATGGATTTTGAGGGATAATTTTGTGTCAGTGTAATGGTTCATCAAGTTTAAGAAATGTACCATGCCAGTTGGTGGATTATACTGTGCATTTGAAGGGATGGGTAGAGCACAAGGGATATATATGCGAGCTCTGAGCTCTCTGAAGTTCAATTCGATTTTGCTGTGAACCTAAGACTGCTATAATAAGTAATCTACATATAAAGACATAGCCCCCTTTTCTCCATCACGAGTACCCTCACACAAGCCACAACTCTTTATCCACGTATTTGTCATATCCCTTTTCTGATAATCTATGTAGTTTTGTAGTTTTACTGGGATCATAGAAACATTTTATAAAATGCCACGTTGTGCAACATGATCATGAAAGATGGGAAATAGGTGTTGGAGGCCTGGGTTTTTGTCATCCATCTGACCCAAGTCATTTATGTGACTTTGGATAAGCCTTTCTCCTCCCATCTATGAAATAATAGGATTCAATTGCCTAGTCCCTAGGGCCCCATCCAGTTGTTTTTTGAAATATTTTTAACTGAATGATTAAGACTTTTTCCTAATCATCGAGCAGTATGAAAGTAAAATTCCTTCAGTAAATTACAAGCCATATTTTCGTTCCTTTAAAAATCAAAATGTTTAAAGATATATAGATTAATGTTTTTACATTTTGCCATAGGACAGATTCCTAGAATCTCTTACACATATTGTTTGCATTGTGTGACACACTTATCTTTTAGACATTATTTTGGAGAAAAGATATTCAATATAACCTAACAGACAGGGATAGCAGATAACAGTCCAGATATTTTATTTTCAACTTTTATAATATTGTATTATAAAATATTACAATTTTTAAATTAAGGAAAATTATATGGTGAATACAGTGTGCTAATCACCCAGCTTTAGCAAATCTTAAGATTTTGCAAAATTTGCTTCTTAATTGTTTAAACAATAAAATATTATTGATGTTTAAAATCTCATATGGAAATAAACTGTTTTATATTAACTTTTTCATTTCTGTTCGTAAATGCATCAAATGCTTATTAAGAAAAATTGGAAAATTTAAAAAGTCAAATGATACATAATCTTACCACCCCGACAGTAGGACTATTAGGATCATTTTGGTAAACTTTCTTTGTCATGCAGATGCTATATGCACCTATATATGGCAAATAGTTATTTTTTATAATTTTATTATGGGAAATTTAAAACATATTAAAGTAAGGGGATAGGGTAATGAAATCCTATCTACCCATAAGCAAACCTCAAATGTTTCTAGTTCATGGGCAGTCTTGTATGTATTACCTAACCCTTATTGGAGCAAATTCCCACCCACAGTACCACTTCTTTAAGTAGTTCAGTGTTCATCTCTACAAGATGACATCCATAAATATAAGGATAATATTATGCAAAGACATTAATAAATCGTCAACATCAAGCATCTAATTATTTTTCAAATTATCGATAATTTTTTCTTACATATTGTTTGGAAATCAAGATCCAAATGAGTTTCATCCATTAAAATAGACTTTCTTGTCTCCTAAGTCTCTATTAATCCATAGTTTTCACATCACTATTAGTTGTTTTTCTTGTAATTTATATGTGGAAGACAATGGGGTTATTTGTCCTACAGACAGTCTCACAGTCTGGATGTTGCCAATTTTATCCCTATGATATTATTTACAGCATATTTCTAAGTCACCTGGATTTCCTATAAATGAGATTTAAGGATAACAACTTGATGTAATTTAGGTTGCATGTTTTTTTATCACATGTAACTTCACCTATGAAGCTACATACCTCCATCAGGAGGCAATGATGTCTTCTTGCTTTTGAAATGTTAGCAGCCGGCCGGGCGCCATGGCTCAAGCCTGTAATCCCAGCACTTTGGGAGGCCGAGACGGGCGGATCACGAGGTCAGGAGATCGAGACCATCCTGGCTAACACGGTGAAACCCCATTTCTACTAAAAAATACAAAAAACTAGCTGGGCGAGGTGGCGGGCACCTGTAGTCCCAACTACACGGGAGGCTGAGGCAGGAGAATGGCGTAAACCTGGGAGGCGGAGCTTGCAGTGAGCTGAGATCCGGCCACTGCACTCCAGCCTGGGCGACAGAGCGAGACTGTGTTTCAAAAAAAAAAAAAAAAAAGAGTTGAAATGTTAGCAGCCATTGATAATTATTGCCCACATCTACGATTTTATTGGGGCTACAAAATGTTGATCTTAAAATTTTATTATTTTGTCTTCATTTTTGGTGATAAACTTCTACAAATGGCAAGTTTTATCAGTATTTGATTATAGACTACAAGGAAAGGCAGGATAAATGCTTGTTTTTCTATTATTTACAACTTTCAAAATAATGATCTGGTTCCCCAAAGATGACCAATAAGAGGTTTTCTGTCTTCTTTTTTTTCGTAGTATTATTATGATCTCATAGATTTAAATATATTTGTAGTGTTTTTATCCTTTGCAGTTATTATTCTTGGTGATGCTCTAATTTTTCTATCCTTAATTTGCATTTCTCTTATTATTAATGTGGCTGAGCTCACAGACTATTTGCACTTCTTTTTCTTTAAATTTCCTGATGATGTCCCCTTGCCTATTTTTCTAGACACTTACTGGAGTTTTTCTCTTCTATCTCCAGAAAATGTTTATATGTTAGGAATATTAACTCTTTGCTCTTATGAGATGAAAAGAGTACTCACAAAATACCGTAAGCAGTGTAAGGAGATAAATAACAAACTCGGAAAACATGTTTACAATTTTTATCACAGGCAAAGATGAGTTCAGGTCTCAGCAGGAAAACGTATAACACAGTGATGGGAAGCCCAGACCCTGGACTCAAGACTCTCCTGCTTTCTAATCCATGCTCGATAATGTTACACAAGTTACTTTAACACTCCGAGCCTTCCCGTTCCTCATCTACAAACTGGGAATCCTAACAATATTGTCTCATTAGTTTACTGAAAAGATATCATGAGAAAATACAAGCTGAACACAGTGCTGGCACATACAAGCTCAATAAATCATAGTTTCAGAGACTCTTCTTGCTGAGTGCCAATAATGATGATAGTCAGTTGTGCTTTGTTGATGGCTTGGGGGTTGGGCAGTCATTCTACTCCTCTGAGCCTCAGACTCTTTGGGTTTACTGAACACATCAGTGTGAAAGGTCAATCCCTACAGGCCCGCTTTTCCTGCTTGCCACCACAGAGTTAACAAGGAAATTATGTGGCTTTGTTCAGACATCAGTCAGTGGAGGGTATCATACATAAATGATTGATTCATTTTTCTATACAGATAATATGTCTGTACAATGGCTCTGTCTTACTCTGTGCCTCAAAGAAATGGACATGAAACCGAGTCCATACTCTCAATAATTTGGTCTAGTAGGGAAGATGCAAACACATTGTTGCCCATATTACTATTTTTTTCATCCTCCTAAAACCCTTGTAAAATACAGTTAAGGTGTTATGCCCGTTTTATAAGTAAGAAAATTCAGACCCAGCATGGCACCATTGTATTAATTCAAGGCCCCTTGAGGAGGTTTTACTTAAATCTAATACTCACCCATGGAACTTCTACCCAGCTCTCAAGGATTTGTATGTCCTGACTAGATGAAATGTCTTATATTTGTGTTTTTTCCTGTTTTCCTCCTTTCTGTAACTGGTCAGCTGACTTTATTTTGGAAGGATTTTACTAAAGCAAAAATAAAATCCCCAAAATCATTTGACAATGAATATTGGCAGTGAACAATTGCATACTTAAGTCCTTTCTAGATGCTGCTCTAAGTGCTTTAAAATTGATTATCACAAAGAACTCTTTGAGATAGATATCATCATGGTATCTGTGATGCAGAAGAAACACTGAGAGCTTAAATAACATGCCCAAGGACACAACTCCGGGGGTGGCTGAGCCAGGAATCAAACCTAGGCAGGGATCTAATGCTTTAGCCAGTATTATCTTTGCATTTTATGATATCAAGGCAAAATAATATCCTTGTTGATAGTCTCCTAGAATGACAGGTTTTTGCTGAGCATCCTTTTTTTGTGTGTTCACAGTGGTGTAATATTGTGGATCTGACTTCATGTGTCACTAAGAACAAGAGATTCTGGGAATAAGGTGATGCTGATCTATTTTCGCTGATATCAGTGATTCTGATCATTTTTAAAAATTGTGTTGGGCATCTAGAGATATATGGAAAGCTAGCAAAAATAGCCACCAGTAATTTAATCACCCATCTGTCTAAGCATGTGGTCCAATTCTTCCTTCACACTAGCAAGTAAGGAGCTTGTGTAGGGGAATCAGCCATTGCCTGGTTTTGAGGCAGCACAGAGGGCCCACTGTCTAGATTTGAGGCCGTGTGGGATAGCATGCTGCCCTGCGAATTCTGTTGGTATGTACATGGTGTGTTGGTGCACTGGCATGCATGGAAGCTTATGGGGTGTGGTGTCTGAATATGTGAATCCTACAAAGAGTGGATGTATTTAAGGAAATCATACATACTCTTACTGTTTGGCTAGGAATGAGGACCACTTCCCTGGTAACAAAGACCAATTTCTTAAGGCAAAGAGGGGACCTGTATTCCTAGACAGCTAAACTAGTAAATGTCAGACTTGAAGAGGTGCCAGATGAATGCACACAGAAAAGGGTGAGGGTGGGCATCTATTCTATGTACATTCAATTATAAAAGCGCATCTACTTTTACTACTTGCACACCAGCAGTATGTAACCCATGTTTAAAAGTTTATGAGAGACACATATTTCATTAACTAGCCAAGAAAGCTACAACAGTTAGCCCAGGTGCCAGGAAATCTCCTAAACCCTCATTCTAACATTCAGTGACATTTTTTTCCAAAGTCCCTTTGATTTTACCATTCAATTTAAAAAGCTAATCAAGAAGGAAAATGATGCTAATACACTGGCAAGAGATTAGATATCTAAAAGTCACTGGAAGTTTTCTGTAATCTTCAAAATCCAGCAGTACAGATTTTATTTTGCTCTTCACCAGCAGTTTGTTTGTTTGTTGTCTAGACTAGAAATAAACAGAAGGGAAGGTCTTTAATATTTAGCCAGCCAAAACTGGTGATTCTAGTTACAGTTGGACACCTAGATGTCCAAAGTATTTTATGTTTAATAGGCCCTACTTTGAGTATTGTCATCTGCTAGAAAATATAATCAATATTTTACAACTGAGGCTGACCACCTGTGGTGACTTGGTGCTGGGTTTACAATCCATGTAGCTCATTCCAGTATGTAGTGTGACCACCTCTAGGCCTTTGGAGGAAATGTACCCTCTTTTATTTGGGTGTCTTTATTATTCTCAGCAGACACTGAGCTGGGCCAGTTTTCAGTCATACTATTAGGAGACTGAGCTATTCCTTTGGAGTTTAAGTTGTGGCATTTCCGAGTGTCAGAACTAGGTTTAATCAGAAATAAAACCTAGGAAAGAAGCAACGGTGATTTTCAGCATGTTTGGTGAATGCTGATATGCTCCAGGGTCAGTTCTGAGTTTGAATCCTGACTTGTCACTTCCTAGTTATGTGATTTCAATCAGATTACTTAATGTCTCTTTCATTTGTGTCCGTGTGAAGAGACCACTGAACAGGCTTTGTGTGAGCAACAAGGCTGTTTATTTCACCTGGGTGCAGGCGGGCTGAGTCCAAAAAGAGAGTCAGTGAAGGGAGATAGAGGTGGGGCCATTTTATAGGATTTGGGTAGGTAAAGGAAAATTACAGTCAAAGGGGGTTGTTCTCTGGCGGGCAGGAGCGGGGGGTCACAAAGTGCTCAGTGGGGGAACTTTTGAGCCAGGATGAGCCAAGAGAAGGAATTTTACGAGGTAATGTCATCAGTTAAGGCAGGCACAGGCCATTTTCAATTCTTTTGTGGTGGAATGTCATCAGTTAAGGCAGGAACTGGCCATTTTCACTTCTTTTGTGGTGGAATGTCATCAGTTAAGGCAGGAATCGGCCATCTGGATATGTACTTGTAGGTCACAGGGGATATGATGGTTTAGCTTGGGTTCGGAGGCCTGACAGTTTCCAAACTCAATTTCCTTCTATGCAAATGGAGGTAATATACATATTGTGAAGCATTGTTGGCAACAGGAATGCTATGTGTAGGTGTGTATGCCTATATGGTATCTCTACGATCACACTTCTTGAGAGGTAAATCTTTACAGCAATGTTTCTTTAATTCCCAGTAGGACCCAAATCTGTTGGCATAGTTTTAAATTTAAATTCATCATTAGATACATTTGAATCCATAGTTCATCCTTTCCCCCAGCACACTTCTGCTCAAAAATCTTAAGACCCATTTAGAGTTGCTAATACCTTCTACTACTCCCACTCCCCCTGGTTCTGCCTTCTCAGGATGCCTGCCTCTCTTGGGAGTCTGTCTTGGTGCCAGGGTATCTGTGAAACCCATGTCTGTGTGTGCTTTATGCTCACAGGAATCATTTTTAACACAACCTAACCATTAGAGAGGTGTGGTTCACACTCTGCCATCAGAGCAACCACTAATTGATACCTCTTGAAAAATGACAGATTCCCTGAAGCGTTCAAGGCCGCCTGACAGGCAAAGATGCCACCTACCTCTATGATTAGTACTTTCCCATGCAGACACTGGTGATTTAAGACATATGTTGTTCTTTCTTGACATTATTTTATTTCACATTATTCCTAGTATATACTTTCTCATTTTATTTTACCATATAATCCCTTTATTGTTTCCAAGGATTTCAAAAAAGCTAATTTCTGAAGCTGTGCCCTCTGGACCTAGTGTCCTTTACTGTGCCGTGTGGCATCTTATTAATGGATAGTGGAATTTGGTGAATACTTTTTTTGTTTCTGTGTTGAAGGAGCGAAATAAAGCAGAAAGAGGTGTGTATTGGGTGGGAGGTGGGAAGCAAAGTAAGGAAATTAGAGTTGTTCCCAAGAAAACCAAATATTATGGAATTGTCTCTCTCTATCAAGCAGAAATTGGGATATTTATGTCAGCACACCCTATATCACTACTTGAGAGAATCAACAAATTTGTAGGAATGTGTCATGTCTAACCATATCTGGGCAAAGTTAGGAAATAACAAAAGATAAAGAAAAACTGCTGGAAAAAAGGCTTAATGAAGGTAGGAATAAAGTCACTATTATCCTGTACCATATCCCCAGTCTTTAACAAAGTGCATGGCAAAGATTATATATTTCATAAACATTTGCTTTGTAAATGTGCTTTGGATCATGTCCTTGGGTGACTTAGAATGGACTGTAAGTACCTTTTCCCTGAAGCATTGTAACTATTTATTAGGTTGGGATGTAACTAAACCTGAAAGGTAAGTGACATATTTTTCTGTTGTTACTACCTGAGCATAGACAGTTTCTTAATATCAGTTAGGAAAAGAAGAAAGAAAGATGCATTTGGATAGACTTGAGACTTAAATTCTCAAAGCAGTCAGCACAATTTCTTTAATAACTCCATCTATCATTGTGCTGAATTACAGCATTGTTTGCTTCCAATGTTGTGTCTCTTGGCTTCAGAATGCAGGAATAATTGTAGACTGTGGCTTGACATTCCAAAACTGAGGCCAAGATCATCTTCAAATTGCCGGGTATGAGAAAGCAGACAATGAATGAATCACAAAACATGACTTTCTCATGTTACAATGTTCCACCATCTGCCCTGGAATGTGGGGGCAGCTGGGGTAACTGCATACAACTGATCCTGGAGATAGTCCAGACAAAGTTGCCCAAAGTCATTAAGGGCTACAAAAGCAATGTCATATGATAAAAGATGGAAAGATTCAGACTCCAGTGGGAAGTAAGATGAAGGTAGATACATTTATGAAATATCATGTAGAATATAACCCTGCAGCAGTAAAAACTTTAAAAATAAAGAACAGTAAAAGTTTATTCAGCACTTACATTATGCACAGTAATGAGTGATTTACCTATGACTTCATTTCATTTGCATAAACATCCTAGAGGGATAGGTATTTTCATCATCTATCTTTTATAGAAAAGAAATATGATACTTAGAGAAGTTGATTATCTTGGCCAGGGTTTCACAGTGGTAGAACCAGAACCAGAACCTCAGTAGTAAACCCCAAAGCCGAGTTCCTAAACATTGCACCATATTTCCTAACCACTTTTAGACTACTGAGGATAAGGGAGCCTTTTATTAGTTAAAAAAAAAAAAAAAGATCATTTTTGGGAGCTAAAGGTCTTCGAAGGAATTTATGTTACCCCCAATGAGGGGTAACATAAAATAAAAATGAGGGGTACCCCAGGGAGAGGAAGGGACAACCCTAAAGGCAAATGACAAATTGGTGACCAAATTAGGTTTAGATCTAAAGTCCTTTGATGACTGCCCAATACCTTTTCCCTAAACACATCATTTCCCCTTTTTGTTATCTAACCCTGGATTCCTTTACTTCATACTTTTTATTATAGTAAAGCAGGGACTGAGAGTTGAGGGAATGACAGGAAATAATGGCATGGAAGCAAAGGCAGAAAATCTGAAAAAGACATGATGAAAGTAACAATGAGATTTCAGTATTAGCCTATAAGCAGAGTCATCCCAATACATGCCACACATATTCTTTAGGGTATCTCCTAGAAATAGTTTTGGGGCTTTTGTTTGCTAACTTCACAAATATACCTAACATTCATCTTTTGCATCACACTACAGGCTATACCAATCCTTTTCCTAAACCCAACACTAGAAGACATTCATCTAGTCAGTATTTCATAGTTGTCAAAAATACAGGAGATGGAATGCTTTTGGTTCAAACCAGGCTCAGCCACTTATCAACTGAGTGGCCATGAGAAGGTTTACTTAACCTTACTGTCTGCTTATTCATTCATTCAATGAATATTTATTGAGCTCCACCTTCGTTCAAGGTTATCAGTGAAGTGAGGTGCTGGAGACACAGCAGGATACCAGAGATAGAATTTCTTGCATGCATGGAGTTTACATTTTATTGGGGGATGAGAGATAATAAACAGATAGACATGTAATACATCAAAAAGACTTTTACATCTAGAGAAAAAGGGATGAGATATGTGGTATGAGTTTATAATTTTAAGCAGGGTAATTTTACAAGGGTCCTCACTGGAAAGGTAACATTTGGGCAAAGACATGAAACAGTGAGGAGAAAAGTTTCCCAGGTAGAGGGAATGATGAGTTCAAAGGCTCCTGATAGAGTCAGGGGTGTGTTAGAGCAGCAGCATGGCTAGAGAGGAAGAAATGAGAGGGAGAAGGGTAGATGATGAGGATGGTGGTAAGAAAGATGCATCAAACATCAAGCAGGATCTTTTTGGCCATTGTAACAACTTTAACTTTGAGTCTGAGTGAGGTGGAAGGTTTTGAGCAGGGGAGTGTCATTCTCTTACATGGGCCTGGTGGAGAATACCAGCCCTAGTTTGGGAAAGCCTGCTGTGCAACCTTGCAGATGGTTAATGATGTCTTGCGCCAGCATGGCAGTAAAAGATGTGGTAAAAAATGGTCAGCTGCTGGATTTATTCTGAAGATAGCGCCACCAGAATGTGCTGATGAAATGGACAATGTGAGGTAGATAGGCAAGACAGGCATCAAAGTTTACTTGGAGGGTTTAGGCCTGACCAACTGGGTGAATAAAATTGCCACTGACTGAGAAGGTATACACTTAGAAGAAGGAGGGCTTTAGTATTTTCCAGGTGGGAGCTGGTGGTGGTGGTGGTGAAGTCATGACCTCAGTTGGGTCATGTTATATCTGATATGCCTATTGGAATCCCAAGTAGAGTTGTTGAAGAGTCAGTTGATTGAGTTTAGAGTTCAGGGAAATATCTGGGCCTGGAGACAAATCTCAGAGTTTTCAGAGTATAACTGGTATCTCAAGCTGTGGACCTGGAAGATGTACCTGGTGAGAAAGTGTGTATAGAGAAGAGGCTCAGGACTGAACCCTAAGATCTCCTTATGTTGGAAACTGGGAGGATGAAAAGATGCAACAGAGGTAGTCAAGATGGAGTGGCCAGTGGTAGCGGTAAGATTGGTACCTTAGAAGTCAAGTGAGGGAGGTATTTCAAGGTGGAGTGATGCACTGGTGCCTGGTCTTACTTTTATGATAGACCAGTGTTAAACACATTGTTTTCGTAT